AATTTGGTGGAATAAAGATGTCATGGATGAATTAAAGACGAGGATCATAGCTGTTCCATTTACTAAGGAGCATTTGACAGAACCTTTACTTGGAAATGGTTTACAAGCAATTTTTAATCTCTTAAATTTGAAAATGTTTTGGAAGAAAAGATAGATTTTTAAGAGAAAAAAATGCATACAAGCAAGTTCTAAAGAAAATAATAGCCTAGAACTTTCTTGAAAACTTAAACATTATTTTCAAACCTAAGAAATTAAAAGTTGCTTCTAAGTCCCATAATTTTTTTTTTTTTTTGCTTCTAAGCGATTTCTAAAAAAAACTCCGTCAAGCACCCCTAAATGTGTCATGGGGTATGGTTCCATTGTCTTTGGATACTTCAAAATCATGATTACGATAGATGGATTATTTCCACAGAAATTGAAGGAAGTAGTAAGGAAAACTCATTTAGTCCAAGTTAAGGTGCATGGTCAAAGTGATAAGAAAAAAAAACGTGCATGGTCAAAGAATTTAAAATTATTGATTCGCGTACCGTGTGTTGCTGAGGAGCCACTTAGGATGTTGGATCTTAAATCCAACGCTTCTAAGTTTTCAAAAACTGACAATTCTGCATAAACAATTTTTTTTTATAAGCAAAAGAGACAAAAATCAACTTCTAAAGGCATTTTATTGTTTGGGGAGTTCTCAAAGTGTCTCCATCTAGTTAGTAGCTATTACAGTTAGATTATTGCAAATTAAATGGAAAAATTACATAACCAACGTACCTTTGTTCCGTATCCTGGAAATTACATTGAAGGATAAATTGAGACTCCTTAGCTCCTCAAATGGTTTAAACAAGGAGAGGTTTAAATGCCAACTGTTTTTGGGGTCATGTAAGCTATACGAGGGTATATCAAACTGCCTGGTATTGCTGAGGGAGAGCTTGATCACATGGCCTGTGGTGGAGTCGCAACCGACCCTCTCCCATTTACAACAGCACTCATGCTCAGGGTCATTAGCCCATGAAGGAAAAAGTTGGTCTGCGTCGTAGCCATCTGATTCGACAAAGGCCTTGAATTCTAGAAGAGCCGCCTTCTCCTTTTCAAAGCAGCCCCTGTTTCCATGGATGAAAACCAAATGGATTAGACCCAACAATAAAAACTTAATTAGCAGAACAGAATCCATCTAGGAATGAAGAAGAATCTGCTGATGGTAATGTTGTTTGCACATGGCTGGCGCTGCCTCTGGCTTTTATATTGTAATTATTCCTAGGACAAGTTGGCCCAACCTAGATAAGAAAGGACCTACAAACCTGGAATTTTTTTTATTTTGGTAGTTAAATATTGTTAGGAAGATTCACATTTCACAAGCCGATTTGGGATTTGACTTTAAGATCCTTCTGAAGATATTGGTAGTTAAATATTGTTAGTATTAGGGGTGGGCAAATCGGTTTTTGGTTAAAACCGAAACTGGTTTTGAAATAACCAAATTTTTTTTTTCTAATTTTGAGAACTAAAACCAAACCAAAATTATTAAAAACCAATCAATTTGGTTATCAATAAATCGGTTTTAAATTGGTTCGGTTTTGGTTTTTAATAAATAAATAATAATCAATTATTTTTCTAATAATATATTATATTTTATCACATATTTTAT